CAAAAAAAAAAAATCTCTTTATTCGGTTCAAGCACTGTCTCTTATACACATCTAGATGTGTATAAGAGACAGGTGTGTGTGTGTGTGTGTGTGTGTGTGTGTGTGTGTGTGTGTGTGTGTGTGGATACAGAAATGGGAGGGAGACGAAACTCACTAACCTGAGTCTCCCATTTTGACTTTTGCGTGCACTCACTCCAGTCGCCGCAAATCCTTGCTCAGCAGGTGTCCACAGCGCCCACCACACTCATCCACCTGGACCACCACAAAGTCATGCAGAGGGTCCACACACAGACACAGCGAGAGAGAGAGAGAGAGAGAGAGAGAGAGAAAGAGAGAGAGAGAGAAGAAAGCTTTAGGTAGTACGACAGCGTTCAACGCGTCCCAAAACACGTCCCCTCGCGCTCAAGCAAAACTCCGTCGCTTTTCACGGCGGATGTATCCTGTCGCAAACCACGACCATGTGCACGCGTGATCAAAAGAAAATCTCGGCGCATATATAACGTGCTGCGCCAAAAACTTGTACGCGACCGCCACCACTCAAAGAACTCTCCTTTAGACCATTCTCTCTCTCTCCCTCTTTCTCCCCATCGTTGCACAGCCAGCTATGGTGGTTCATCCCTGCCAAGCACACATGTTCAAAGGACAACCCTCTACCCCCCTACCACCATGCCTCTCCCATCTCAGTCCGCCATAGCCACACTGAACAAGCTACGGTATGAAGTCCATGTCCAGCCGGTATCCCAACAGGAGCGTCCGAAATGCAGCGCCAACCAAGGAAGTGGAGATGAAGTCCCACCATATCCAAAGGTGAGTCTCACTTGTAGTTTCCCTCCTTCCTGTTCCTGTACCTGTACTCTTCCCTTCCACTTACCTCCATAGCCTAGCTCAAGGTTGTTCTCCCCCCACCTCCATAGCCTTCACCGAAGAATAACGTCCAGTGATTAGAGCGGTATTTGGCCCGATAATCAGTCCAGGTACGGCGATAATTACTGTCCGTTTACTCGGATGAAAACGCTTGGGCCCCCCTCCTTACTCCTGCTCATCCTCCATAGCCGTGGTCCTTCTTCTTCACTCTCATCTCCTCATCCCTCAACCCAGGGCCCCGCGTTACTCTCCCCCGGAGGTGCAGAAGCTGAACAGTCTCTCGCCCGCGCTCCCAGCAATTGAACAAACGATATTTCTCTTTTCACTCTCGGCCTCCCGTCGGCAGCCCTAAGGGCTGAGGAGGGGGCATTCGCACCCCTAAAGGCTGCAGTGGAGAGGGGTGGGCCGTATGTAGTACCAAGGCTCGTCTTTCCCTTTTTTGTTCGGGGTACCGGCGCTATGTGGGTTTTCGAGGGGCCTTGGATTGGATTACCAGGGCCCGTGGCTTTTGGTTTTGAATGGTTGAATGGTCTTTGTTCTTAGGATCGTGCATTGTATCTTCTCGAGGAGACGTCAACGAGGCTGTGCGGGGGGGGGGTAGGCTACCTAAGGGGGGGGGGGGGGGGGGGTGCAAAATTCCGAAGAAAACAATCAGCATGTAGATCAGGGGCCTCTCCACACCGTTGACTTGTACCGTGAGGGCACAGATGCGCAGCCCGTAGTTTGTTTGTTGATGTGGTTGGGGAAAGGTAAGGTAGTGAGTACGCTGTGTGTATGTGCACCCAGTTTGTTTGTTGATGTGGTTGGGGAAGAGTAAGCTAGTGATTCTGCTGTGTGTATGTTTTGTCATGTTCGCTATAAACAACTCGAAGAGTGTGTGGGGGGGGGGTCCCTGCTGGTGCTTTATTCATGATGT